AGTGAGGGTTTAGCTTAAGCATACAGAATTCAATGACGTAGTCATATTGCCAGCTTCTCTTTAAGAGCTACCTTCCTGGAGCCTCTCACCTTGTGTATTTGAGAAACCTAGGTGACAGAAATACTATCCACAACCCTGCCAGCCAGTGCCTCACACCTGGCCAAGGACTTCTTGCATGCTAACTTGCACTCGCACTCCCTGTTCTAACAGAGCTCTAGCCTGTCACAGAGAGTCAGGCAATCGACTTTCTGCACTCACTGCAAGGGACACCCAGCACTGCCTGAAAGATCAAAGGGCACATTGTATGTAGCATGGATTACAAATGAAAATTTGATCGTCCCCTGCAGCCTTCCAGACATTGCAAAGGAATCATTCCAGGTAACTATGCTGGCCCAATCTAACTTTTTTTAAAGGTTTTTTTTTTGAGTCCTGCTTTAAAAAATCTTCTTCCCCATTTAATCCCAAATAAAAATGTACATTTTTGTCTGAACAGTACCTTGGGAACAAAAAAATGTTTACCTTGAATTCCTCCTAAAAAAACAGCAGTGTACTCCCTGGCATGTGACTGTGCCCAGGCACTCTTGTTCTGAGTCCTCATAGCTCTATATCTGCAATGTGAACTCAGCAAAGCCATGGCTGGCTTTGATTTTTGGTCCCACAAGATTTGGAGATGTCACTAAATATCATTGTACCTGAGGAGCTGTGGTGCACGGATCTCCCTGGAGTCATCTCTCACATAAGGAAGCAAAAGCTCTGATCTCTACCAATATGACCACCTCCACAAAGAGACACAGCATGGAACATAGTCAGCAATGGGGAAACGATCAGCTGAAGGGCGTCCACAGGCAATACTCTTGACTAGCATTTTGCCCTCTGGCATTTTTGGGCACATCCTCCTCGGCATTGGTCCTCTTTGATAACCACCAATCCAATATAATTTGATTCCCTATTGAGAGCAATGAGGAAACCTTCTACAGAGATTGAATAGGTCTGAAGAGAAGTGTTTGAAGTAGGACTGGTTATACTTTACATAGGTGACAGGTTTCATCTAAATTAATACTTTGACATATGCATATAACATATAATTGAAATCTTTCTAAACACTCCCTGGAGAAGGTGAACTGGTTAAACCGATCTAAGCACATTGGTGTGTTAGAAAGTTAAATGCTTGGTACATACTAGGATTTGTACTCCCTCTGTGATGTGAATGTGTAGCTGAAAGCCAGAAAGTAGTCCAAGACATTAGTTGGGGATCAGTGATGAAGACAACATAGTGGAGAAGGCATTCAAGGGGTCTTTGCAAATTCTGGACCAGTGTCAAATTTTTCTAGTGATGCCGTAGAGAAATAGTTATAATCCACCATCCCAGGAATGGGGAATCTTCCGACACATGGTCTGCAACAAGCAAGACATGTTTGAAGTAGGATTCTAACATTTCGCTATGTTTTTTGTTTTTTTTGTCGGATCCCTTTTCAATTATTAAATTGCACACATATTTATAATTTGGAAAATGCTTTTAATTACAATTCCCAAACTCTCCCTGAAAAAGGTGAACGGATTGAACTGTGTGAGCTAAAAAGTTGGAATGCTTGCCATGTATTACAGTTTGTATTCTCTATATGATGGTGTACACTTTTAAAGCCATTGATTTGGGGATCACTGCAGTATAGACTGAAAGGCGTCTTTTGGTTTCAGATAAATTCTTATTGCGGCCATTTCCATGATGTAGTTGACAGATCTTCCAGTATGACCAGATAGGCCTGGGTGCAATCTAAGAAAGCCAGTGACGGCAATGAGTTGAAGAGAAGTTCTAGCAAATGTACTATAGGTGTGTTTTATTAAGGAGGAGGAGTTCTGACAACTGTTTCAAGGGTGTGTTTGTTGAGGAGGAGGAGTTATGACAACTGTTTCAAGGGTGTGTTTGTTGAGGAGGAGGAGTTATGACAACTGTTTCAAGGGTGTGTTTGTTAAGGAGGAAGAGTTCTGGCAACTACACCATGGATGTAGTTAGCAAAGAGGACTTGTTTCAAGGCTAAGGAACAGACATCTGCAGATGTATGGAAACAAAATATTTTTTACCACAGATCTCTGCAAGAAACTGAAATGCTTCTTTTATTGACCACATGTTGAAAATAACAAGTTGGGAGGAATTGCTGCAGTGATCCCTGGCTGAGCATGATCGTTCTAAATATGCAGTCATGAACAGGAGGGCCTCTGTGCTGAAAACAAATTTGGTCCTTATTCGATGCCCATCAGTGTACAAACTGCATTGCCAGGAGGTCACTTGAAATTTTACATGTGATCTATGGCTCATCTCACTGCATTGCCATGTATCACCACCCTCTGCACCACATGTGACAAATGTGCCCTCATAGTTTCAGATATATAATTGTTGATGCCAGCCGACCTAATCATATGCCACAAAAACAGACAGATGCCCTAATTAAAGCCTGCTGTCCCTCTCTCTCTCTCTCTCTCTCTCTCTCTCTCTCTCTCTCTCTAAAATGGACAGGCTCCCATGCCATACCTTGATAGGTCCTCTTGCTCATTTGGACCCCCGGGGACAAGCTGAAGGTTTTCTTTGTTTATGAGGAATTTACTTTTCTGCTTGAAACATTTGCCAGTTCAGTTATTCTATCAGGCGTATTAGTTTAATTTCTTTTTAACAGTGCACAAATATACATCTTTAGGTGCAGAATTTGCAGGTGCATAATGAGGCTGTGCCAATATTTCTTCATGGGTAAAAAGTCAAGAATGAAACGTAAGATGGGAGATGCTTTCAACTCAGTAGAAATACACTGACCCTGGAGCCTCTTACAGTGCAGCTGTCAGAGAACGGCAAATAGCAAGGCTGAAAAAAATCATTTTGTCTAGAATTTTCAGTTTGTCTTCTTAAACACCTTTAACCTGAAATGCCAGTGATGCTGACCCATTTGTTTCAAAACTAAATCCACACAGGTATGCAGTTAGGGACTTCTGACCTATTGCATGCTTGTTCCAGGTTGGTAATTTATGAAATATTAAGGCCAGTGTATTGTCATAACAGCTATCTATCTAAGAGGGTTATTCACAATTCTGCCGAAGGCAGCCGAGTGAATAATCGAGCCAAAGCGAACAGCGCCGAATGCTGTTCAGCTATTCATTTTAGCTCAGTATGGCTGATTTCAGCTGTACATCGGCTGAAATTAGCCGTTCATCGGCTCGCTTCGGCTGGCTTCGGTTCAGGCGAACATGTTCAGCATGTTCGCCTGAGCCGAAGTGCAGAAATGTACAGCTCCCGAAGGCAGCTTAGCTTGACTGATCCGAAGTGACAACCAGAGGGGGGCGAACAGCGAACCACGGAGGTGCCGAACAGAATCGACTGAAACGAAGGGCTTCGGCGACCGAAGCTAGCCGAAGGATCAGCCGGAGCTACAGCTGGATCCTTTGGCTAGCTTTGTGAATAACCCTGTAAGTGTTTTGGAGAGCTGCTGCACAGTGCAAGCTTTTTATTATTTGTCCACCTATCTACTTTTCTTTAGCGTTACCTTCTTCTTACGGTTTTATAATTGCAGTATGCTGCAGCCTTGATCCTGCTAATTCCACTTCTTAATGTTTAACAACTGTAGGAAAATAGATGTCTAGTTCCATGCAATTTTTCTTAGGTTTCTGTTTCTTTTTCTTACATTTTTTTTACAGTAATGGGTGCAAGTTTTCAAGAGAGACAACACTTCTGTGCCTTGGATGTTGTTACTGTCATTTAAGGCAGATGAAAGGAAGTAATTTGCAGTAACTAAAGGTGTTGCCTTTGCTGTTTCTTTTTATAACACACTTGGTGTCGTCAGTGGCACGTTTCAATAAATTAGATATGATGCAACACCAGACGTTTTTGTTCCCATCTACAAATCTGCCATTACAACTTATGGTTAACAGGCATATTGGTTCATTGTCTTCAAGTGACATTTACCCGGAATAACGTAGACATAATGCATGACAAAAATCATGCATCGTCACCAGGGGCGTAACTAGAAATCACAGGGCCCCATAGCAAAATTTTGTATGGGGCCGCGTGATTTCTAGTTATACCCCTTGCAGAGCCCACTCGAGATCCCACCTGAGGGTGACTCTGCAGAGCCCACCATAGACTCTCTATGGTGGGCTCTGCAGGATCACCCTCAGGTGGGCTGGTCGCACTCCTTACCTCCTCCGTCGCCGAGCCCGCCTCCTTCTTCGTCACCGAGGCCGCCTCCTCCCCTGCTGCCGAGCACGGGCCCGCCTCCTCCTCCACTGCCGGTGACGTCAGAGGCTCGCGACAGGGTAGAACACCGGGTCCAGCCTGCTCCCCCGCTGCTGCTGGCTCTCATTGACTGTGGACACGAATGCGCCGCTGCACAAATGATCTGAACAGCGGCGTGTTCATCTTCAGACGCCAGTGAAAGCCAGCAGCAGAAGATCCCATAGCGACCCAGGCGGCCCGCACGGCATCTGGCCGGGCCCCACCGTGCCCCGGGCCCCATAGCGACCGCCTGGGTCGCTATGGTGATTGTTACGCCACTGATTGTCACACACGTCCATCGTCGCACACAAATTTTCCAACATGTTAAACATTTTTGTGACCAATCATATTTTTTTTCCCTTTCCACCATCCAATTCTTAGTTTGGATGTTGACAAAGAGCAGAAAATTCTGTAGTCCCCAATCATGGCAACAACAGATGTCCACTTCATCTTGAATTCTCAGTGGAGACCTGACAGTCGTGGCAAAGCCATAAAGTGTATTTTCACTTTTGCTGTCAAATTGGGATAACATCTGCTTTATATTTTAATCCAGAAATAGCCACAGTCCAAGGGTCTTCACCGAAGATAACAAATATTTACTTATAGAGCAAATGCATACTGTTAGTTCCTCTACACCCGTGCTAAACCTTTAAGGCTGGCCATACACCTATCAATTTTTTTCGTTCAACCTGCGTTCATCCATCAACACAAACAGCATGTCGATAAGAGAAATTGCCGCTGTTTGCATTGTATTCTGACGGGTGCTGCCGGCACCTGTCAGAATACCTGATCAGAGCGGGAAGCTCATTGGCTGCCGGCTCTGATCGTACGAAGATTTTCCAGACCGGCTCTTTTGATCAGCTGATTGAGGAATGCCCACTGAAAGGGAGCCGACAGCCCCACACACTGTGCAAATTTTGGCTGGTACATTAAAAACCGTCTGATATACGGCCAATGTATGGGCGCCTTCAGGGTTTCACCATCCCAGCTTGCTCATAGAGATTGTTGTTCTCTATGCACATGTTCCAATTCACACAACTTAAAAAATATTTTAAAATTGCCACTTACATGTTACTTGCTCAGCTCTGAAACTGAAGTTTTCCCATGCTACATAATGTTAAGGAGGGTGATGGGGAATTAATTTTGCCATAATTAACCCTGTCTGTACTGTGCTGGCAGATCTCATTAGATGTAAATTTAATTTGATCACTGTCTATCCTCATAAAGGATTCAAGATCTTAAGGCTTGGGTTCCACATTATTGAGTGAAACTCAGTCTGTCTCCACTTTGTTCCCATCCACTTTTACTTTGAAAATGTTCTGAGTTGCTTGCAGTCTGACCAAGTCATACTCCTACTCTGTTAAACCAGGAGAGTAGTGCAATTGGTTAGAGCTATATATCTGACTGTGTCTTCACAGGGGGAAGATGAATTTGTAGGCATTTGGTATCTGATGGTGACACGCCAATACAGCCAGTGGAAATAGGGAAGTTTCTCCATGAACTGATCAAGAGAAATATGTCGATTCCCCCATCCACACGGTTTATAGTATTCAGACAGCCCGCTCCCACGGCTGTCAGAATACGTGAACAGTGACTGCATTTGATTGATTGCAGTCACTGTTCTGCCAACCATTTTACCAACCAGCTCTTTTGATTTTTTAATTAACTTTTGTGGAGCCGGGTGGTGACAACAAGGCTTACAAATGGCTCAAATTTTGTCCACATTAAGAGGAATCATCTGAATTTCGCCAGCTTTGGCCAGCTTCAATGTCTCTGATCAGCACACATTTTTTATTTTATTTATATATATATAGATATATATATATAGATATCCTATCTATCTATCTATCTATCTATCTATCTATCTATCTATAGATAGATAGATAG